AGGAGGGTGGTACTGGATCCGCCGCTATAAACTATCCTGTCTGGGATCGGCAGTTTAATAAAGCATGCAATCTAAGAATAACATTGTCTTGGTAAGAAATGTTGTAAAGAATAGCTGGAGAGGAAAGCCGAATTCGCAGAAGAGTTTTCTGTCATTATATTAAGCCGGAATAGCTCGTTCTCCTCATTTTGTTCCCGTTTCAAATTATTTGCGGTAGCGTTGTTTTCAGCAACAGTCTTATCACTTAAAGTATTATATTTGGGGACTGTTGTGTCCGTTGCGACACACGTCGAGTTCGATTTTTATTAGTCCAACAGAAAATATCAGCACTGGTAATTACGTAGCTCCGAGTCTGTGATTATTCGGTTGGTGCTGACCGGGGTACCACGGTCCGTCGGGCCTTCACTCGAGCCGCTGTCGAAGCTGCTGCTGGGGGAGATGTCGATCCTTGTGTCGGCCGCACAGTCCTGTCGATCGTCAGCGCACTCCCTTAAACTTCTCCAGTCGATCTGCGCTCCAGATCCGGATTGTGCGCTGGAACGTTCTCGAAAGGGGGGAGCAAGATCACTTGCTCCCAACAGGGACAGATATCTACTAGCGCAAGGGAGTGTTGTTCTAGAAGGTTTTATTGAACGAATTTTTAGTAATGGTTGGTTGATGCCGGCAATTCATGCAATGGAATTATCACAGATGCTAACACAAGCCACCTTCACCAGTGAATCCTATTTGAAGCAACTCCCGCACTGTACCTCCGGACTACTGGAGCGATGCAAAGAAAAGGTCTGTGTTGTTATTTTTGGTTTTTCGAATCAAATGACATAAGAAGTTGAAACTGTTGCACTTGCTTTTTGTGTCGGTGTTTCTAGCACTTGGTAGGATGGAATTTTGTACCTGGATGAAGCGAAATCTGCTAAATAATTAGAGCTAAAAATTTAGCCAGAAAAGGCGAAAAACTCAGTGTGATGTACTAAAATACATCAGAAATGGATAATTTTATTTTTAAAAGACAATTTTTTCGTTGTAACGCTGGAATTCTGGTGTGATAGTGCTGAAAAAATGCATGTGGAGACACTGTTTTAATGAGAGGAATGCTATTTTTGAGCGAGATTACGTTTTCGCGTTTTTTGAAAGCATATTTGCCATTGATCCAAACATTGACGTTTGAAGTGGTACTTATGGGAAATGACCCTAGAATTGACAGAAGCTAAAACGTCGCGGTTTTTTCATTTTTTTACGATATCCGAAAGTATCTGAAGGTAGTTCGAGCAATACTGCCATCAGCAATCATGATGGCAGTTTTGACTCCTTGGCGTGCTCACAGCAAAAAATTGTTAATGGGTAGATATCAGTATTGCTTTAATATTGCAGAAAGTAACGTCAATTTTTGATCTGTTGGATTTGGAAGATGATGTGCGGCAAGCGATTTTACAAATGACTCCAGCGCAAATGTCGGACGTAGCACGATTCTGTAATCACTATCCAAGCATTGAAGTTGAACACAAAATTGAGAATGACGGGACAATCACCGTGTTAGTACTTATGAATTTTTGTAAACTTTCTGGTAATTAGCTTGAGGAACAGTTCGCTTTTTCTATTTTCGCTCTGGTTTAGGACCCGTGGGATTTTTCTGTTTTTTTTGGCTTAGAAACGGGTAAAGTCTTTTTTTTTTGAAGCCGAATGAATGAATTCATTTTGGTACTGAGAAAAGAACTGGAAAGATTGTACTTGGATATTTAAGATGCAATTCGGGCTGTACAGCTGGCAACTGATCATCGGTA